TCTTATTTGTCATCTTAAAAGGTTGCTTTGCCATTGTTTTGTGAAGTGTTTTGCCTAGCATTGTGCCTGATCCCTTTGGTGAGCCATGTTGGAAGATTTTATCTGGAGTATTAAAGGCAACAATCTTCTTTAATTGCTGGAATATCATGAACTGGAATCCTAGGATTGTTTTCTACTATAGATTTCATTTGTAGCCTAATGCAACTGTCTGTTTTCAATTTGGAGATTTTGGGTTTGGGCATGTCATGGATTTTTTGCTGTTCCCCACCATGAGCACAGAGCAGCAGGATGTTTTCTTATAGTGGATGTGATAACCTTCCAGCATACATTTGAGACACATAATGTGGTGATAATGCGTTTCTCTTCTTCAGTATAAGTTATGAAGTACAATATTTATGCCATAAATTTTTGTGTGCGATTTTGGTGGGACAAACTGTTGAATAATTAATAGTAATAAATAAGTAATATTAATGTATGAGTTATATTCTGACAAATATTCCAACATGAGTCTAAAATATTCCAATGTAAATTAAACCTTAAATAGTTTGAAGGTGAAATAGTCAAAAGATAAGTGTATGTTCACCCAGTGGGGGTCTCGATCCCCCGACCTTGTGATTAAAAGTCACACGCTCTACCAACTGAGCTAACCGGGTCATATTTGTTAGCTTGAAGCTTTTTTTAATTCATGAACTAACTTGTACCCTTACAAGCAGAAATATCTCGAGAAAATTGAGAAAATTAGGTTAGGGAGGAGTTGGTGTCAAAATATTCGGGTATATGATTATCTGTTGGAATATTCATAAGAAATATGAATTTATTATTGGGAAAACTTAAGACATTTTCACTCTAGATATTTTTCATATAAATTAGTTATTTCTGTCATTAATAGATGGTTTTTGATTTGACGCGTTTTTTCATTGTAATATTATTTTCCGCCGCTGCTATGAGCAATAACAAACATTTCCAAAAGATTAAGAGTCTGAAGGAAAATGATGATTACTTTGAACAGTCGTTAACTAACCCTGGATCCAAGAAATTAATTATGTTAAGAGGATCGCAGAATTATACAGAATGGTCTCGCAAAATGCAATGGTATTTGGAAAGCAAAGATCTCTTCCGTTATGTTGAGGATGTTGATTTTGTATCTGATTTGAGTGATGATGACTTTGA